ATTATATATAATTCACACATATTTATATATATCAAAAAACTATATATATATATATATATATATATATATATATTATTTAAGAGATAATTTTTATATATTTATCTTTATATATTTAAGAATCATCTATTATCTCGAGGTGAATCAAGTCACTGTCTGCATCCCATTATTCAGTTTTTCCGAAGTTGGATTTAGGTAAAGGTTGAATGTTCTAATTTGTGTTTTCTGTTTCTCACTCCAGATTTTTTCTAGCTTGGACTTAGCAATGGTTTGTGAAATTCTAATATTAATATAGAATAAAACTTTTATTTATAAAAATATTATGACATCACTTTATTATTTAGATAATTACTATTGTAAATAAAATAAAAAAGATTATTAATTTATTATAAAATAATTATAGATTAATATTAATATTAGTAATAAATAATAAATTATTGGTTACAAATTAATTAACAATAGATAATAAATAAACATGACTATGTTAAGAGCCTTTCCTAACAGGAGAGGCTTCCAAAAATTGACGGGAAAGTCCTAACCAAAGTAGGGTGAGACTCACCCGCCCTCAAATGTGTGTTCATATTAATAGGTGTTGGCACGACTCGTCGTCTCAAAACGATCATTGGCGAGTCGCCTTTCACCCCCTGACAGGACAGGTTAAAGTCACATGTGTCTGCTGTGGTTTAATTATAACCAGCTCACCACTATTTAGTGTATAGAATTCTCGATGTGGGACTTACAAACATGATTTATTTCTGAATTTGGGACTTACAAACATTATTGATTTTATGAATTGCAATACCAACATTATTAACATGTTATACCATCACATTGGTTTTTGAAAGTCTTAAATGCATCTTATGATATTTCCTTCTGATACTGCAGCGTCCCACAACCCGATGTGGGACTCTATTTTCCTTTCAAGTCAAGCACAAGAAGGCTAATGCAAATGGGTTGATTCTTCAAGGCAATGTGCTTGAAAATGTGGGTCTCTCTGATCCTTTCACTTATATTTTCGTGTACTAGAAAAGTTCCAACAAAGCTATCAATATTCTGGTGGCATGAAGATATAGATTTGACAACAACATTTTGCGCAATCTGTAGATAATAGCAAGGTTTCTATAACATAAAGATGCATTAAATATGAGTAAATTTGCTAGCAAAAAGGAGATATACAATCATAGAAACAGTTTGAGGACAGGATTGCAGCAAGTGGAATGTATCAATGTCCCTTCTTATTAGTTATTAAGGATGGTTATATAAATCTCATGCTTGTACCTCAACTTACCTCTTTCAACAGAATGATTTTCCACAAGGGGAAAAAAATCTTAAAATAGATGAGACAAAATTAGAAAGAAGGTGCCTAGCTCAGCCTAGTGGAGGTGGAGAAGAAAATGGTTTGGTGAGAATCAAGTACAACCTAAAGACTAGTGAAATGGTTTCTTGGAGAAAAGCATGCACAAAAGGTAAATAGTAATTACTATGGGAATGACATTTGGCAATCCAAAGTAATTACTATTTTCTTCTTACTTCTTCCAAAAAAGGAATTTTAATTTTAGTTCCTATAAAAAAATCATTCTTAAATATTTATGTTTATATTTAATGAAAAATTAAATGATCATTAATTAATCAACTTTTATATATTAAATTTAAACAACTATTTTGAGTTAAAATATTTTTAAGAATTTTTATTTGACGAGATAATTTTTTAAAAACTTGTACTGTATAAATTGTGTATCATAAATTTAATATATAATTTATGTGTTTATAAATATTTATTTATATAAATTTAAAATATAATTTATATATAATTTATTATAAATTTTAGTTATATATAATCGACATATATTAAAATATTATTATTTATTAATGTCTTAGATGCAATATCGATATATAAAACATTAAAAACAAATCTATATTTTTAAAATAAATATTATTTTTTATCTTAAAAAATATTTAAATCACACATTTAATTTTCTATTAGAAAGATCTACACTAACTTTAAGAGTAACAAATATGACACCACAACAATAAATCAGTCAAATTTTAGATCCATCGATGATAAGCATAAAAAAGAAAAAATAATAATATATTTTAGGTCATTTACTTTATGTTTGATTTAATTTTTAACAGGTAAATAACTTTTTTAATCATATTAAAACATATAACAATAAATAATTTATTTAAAATAATATACTAAAATTTTTCAATTTTTTGGTTCAAAATTTGATAGTTTAAAACTAGCATAGAACTTGTTTAACATATAATTTTATTTATTTCTTTTGTTCATTTTTTTCACTCATTTAAATAAGTATATTTTTTTTTATCTCTTTAAGTAATGCCTCGATTTGAATAGTCTAAATGAAAAAAGATTGAAAATGAAGATTTCATTAACTAAGTTACATGGATCAAATATGTTAAGAAGAATAATTTTTTCATTTTTAACTATTTTTTTAGAAAAAAAATCTACAGAATAAATTGTATATTTAGAACAACTTAAATTTGTATAAATAAAAAAAAAAGTTAAGTTATTTTTAAGAAACTGCAAATCTAAAATTAAGTTCTTTTCAATTGTTTTTTCTTTTTCTCTTTTAAGCTAATTTATTGCATAAAAATATTTATTTATATTATATTCAAGTAAAATTAAAGATCTTAAAATTATTTTTCAAATATTTTATCCAAACAAAATTTCATGTCGATTATAATCAATTATAAGAATAATTCATTATTAAAATAATTTAATTTTTACTATTTTTTCAAATACACTCGTAGTAAATTAGTTATTACTTATCAATAAAATCGGGCTAATACATTGCACAATAATGTAATTAAAAAAATTATTATTATTTATTTCTTATTCCAGTGCATTGAAATACATATTTCACTTTTCTATTTCTTTCTCTATTTTTTTTACTTATTTATTTTGCTTAATCAAGTAATAAAAAATTGATGTTTACATAATTAATCATATAACCTAAATTAATGTTCAAGCTGATGTTTATAGCGTTTGATTCTTGTATCTCATACGTGTATTTAGTACCTTTAAACCATTAACAAAATTGATTTTAAATTATGTTAATTTAAAAAAGTAATTTGGTCAAAACTAAATCTGAAATGATGTTAATCATATGATTTATGTTAATATTCTTTTCATAAAGGCAAAACTTTAGTATAATTTTTTTATTTATCATAAAAATTACATAAAATTACTTCAATTTAAAATCAACTCTTATATATTAAATACAATATTAAAAATTATATTATACAATTTTTTTTAAAAATCATTCTCCAATAAGAAGGTTTATAAAAAAATTAACTTCTTTAACTATTATAATTTTTTTTTATCCAATTCTTTTAATGTGAAAATTCTTATCTATGAACATTTTCAAGAAATTTCAACCAAAACAACTTTAAGAATTTTTTAATTTTTTATTTAATAAAATTTTTATTTTATAATCAATCTCTAGATATAAAACACAAAAAATTATTTTACAAGAAAATAATTTTTAGTTTTTCTTTAATGAAAGAGTTTTTAGGAATTCTTTCAATTTCATATAATTTAATTTTTATTTATCATAATTATTTATAAATTAAATATTAGTGTTTCAACTTCATATTAATCAATAAAAAATGTTTGTTTGGCATGGTTAATAAAAAAATGTGTTACAATATAAATTATCATAAATTTGGTATATAATTATATAATTTTACGAATACCTATTATACAAATTTTAAATATAATTTATATATTCAAATATAATATTTATTTATAAGTATAATTTATTATAAATTTTAACTATATATAATAAATATGTTTATACATTAGATAAGCTAAATACTAGTATTTATTATGAATTAAATTTTAATATTTTTTATAAAAATTAATCAACAATCAAAAACAATTGTGTCACATTTTAAATTACTTATTATAAATCTAAAAAATACCAGTGAATTTTAGGTTCTGTTCTGCCCGTCAATTTTTGGAGGCTTATCCTACTAGGAGAGGCTACATATCAGTTCTAAAAATTTAAAAATTTATAGGAAGGTTTATGTGCAGTCAGCGTTAATTTAACCATAATAATAATAATTCAAAAACACGTTTTCAATTGCAAGTCTACACAAATAAATGGGTTAGAAAGCACTTCAGATTTTCTTCATAATGATGAGCATCAGAACGGGGGCAAATAATCAGTATCATAGATTGATTATTTAAACATTTGGTATTTTTCCTTTCGTGGTAGTAGTACACTGTATTCTATTTCACTTTATCATCCTTATCTAGTTGTTGGATTAATAGTTGGATCATCTTCCTATACGTTGGCATGTAATGATCATTTATCATCGATTTTGTAAGTCTGAGCTTGCTATACAACTGTCTAGGAGTTTCATATAATTTGGCATGTTCTTCAATGAAGTTTGAACTAGAGTCATCAGATGGTGTGGAAACAATATGCATGATTTTTCCTGGGGGATAAAATCGATAGCTGTCTATGTTGTCGGATGCTGTGATTGAATTGCTACTTTGTGCAGCATCAATAAGCTGATTCTCTTCTTTGGTTATCTCTTTTGCTGCAGCTGCCTCTTCTACATGAGCATGAATGTCCAGGGTATTATTCGATTTTTTGAGTTCCCTCTCCAGCTCATACCACAGTTCACCTTCGCTGATGTTATCTCCCACAGGAGGGGTAATGTACTCGTTGCTAAAAGTGACTTGTTCCTCTTCATATATGGCATCAAGTCCAGATCTTCCACTTGAGGAGTTTGGTTCATCCTTATTCAACACAGGCGCACATTCAGTCAAAAAAGATTTACTTATATTTTCATGTACCAGAGAAGTTTGAGCCAAGTTATCTAATTTAGATTTTGGAAATGAACGAATATTTCGACTGTGTGCGGCCATAGTTTTGATAACAGATTTGACAACGGTTTGTGCACACTTCATCACATTCTGCAGGCAATAGCAGGATTTCTATGTAAGATAAAAGATGCATTATATATTATGGGCAAAGATCCATGCACAAAGAAGATATACAATCAAAGAAACAGCCTGAGTACTAGGAATAGGATTGCGGCAAGTGCAATGAATCAGCTGTCCTTATTACGATTGCTTGTATAACTGCTCTGAGTGCAAACTAGTGTCGGGTAACCTCACTGTAAGCTATATCCTCAAAGAGCTTTGGTAATCTAAATGTAAAATAATGTAAAATAGAGGAGAAAGAAGCTTGAAATTACCTGGGTGCCACTGGTTACTGGCCGTAGAATAGCAACTACACCAGTTACCTTGTCTTTTGCACTAGATATAGATTGGAAGTGAGATCCAAGTGCAGTTGCTGAGCGACAGACGACATTCAGAACCTTTGTATGCTCAACTTGATCCCATAAATCATTCAACCAAGATGACGCAGCAACCTAACAAAAACTAACTTGAGTAAAGAACAAGGCATTAGGTTACAGAGGATGTCTTCTGAGAGGATCTTATCTGAGATTGGGAGAATTAACGATTTAACATTAGCCAAAATATTGAGGTCAAGAGAACTGGCAAGAGCACCTCAGTGCGCAGATCATCAACAGAAGAAGCTGATAATGTGGGTACCAAGTCAGAATTATTTATAATGGTAGTGATAAAGTGCTTCCCTGATTCAGCTAACTCCCATGTCATACAGGAAGCTGCAAAAATGACAAAATGAAAAGCTCTTGGCAATACTGATTATGACATAAGCACAACTCCTATATTTTGGAAAAAATTCAATGCTACAAAACAAACTCCACAAGCAATATATAATGATAAAATAGACAGTCTTACTTCACTAATCTCTTCTTTAGGTTTGATTGGAAGAAACAAAATACATATTCAAATTTAATTTTGCAACTATAAAGTCAAAATAGGCATTCCAACTTGTAACAGAAAATAATTACTTGTGTCATAAATTATAATTCATGTCACACTAAATAGCTATATACTAAATGTTGGACATAGAAATTTAAAATCTCATATCACAGCCTGAACTGATTATAACAACAGGCTCCAGCTCATTTCCACCACCAACACATTTGATCATATTATCAAATGAAAGGATAATTCAACTTGATTTCCACAATTTTAGATGTAAAGTTTGGATGGCTACATGCCTGGGGCAAATGTGACACAAGTGCTTGAAGATAATTCTTTTTGTTCTCTAAGAATATATGTTAACAGTGCTGCAGTACCACCGCCAAGTGAGTGTCCAACAATCTGTGGTAAGATGAATTGATGAAAAGGCAAGAATATGATGAGTCATGTGATTGAATAAAATACATTTAATTCCAATTCAAAAGCAAACATAAAAAAAAAAATAAAAAATATGGGATTCTAGTGAAAGGATAGAAAAAGTAAGAAATGAAAGGAAAACTGAACGATTCAGAATACATAGTTTTGGGCTTTTGGCATTATAATATTCTTTTAATAATAATAGAGAACAATACCTTGACTTTTGAATCAGGACATTCATCAAGAGCCCTAAGTAGTGTAGGAGTGCAGAGTTTTGCAATCCAACGAGCTGCAGCAACCATACCACAGTGTGCATATCCTAAAATCAAGTTGCTTACCCCTCCATCATTTAAAATAGAATGGTGAAAGGGAACCACGGCACCAGTTGCAGCTGTCAAGGTGTCTTTTATGCTATGTGTTCCCCGGATCAATAGAAGGAAACATTTTGATTGTGTATCATGTATAATTGTGAAAGCGGGCTTCAGAAGCTACAAATTTCATGACATTAAATCAACTTTCAGTTTCAATTGAGCAATAAAATGATGACACTATGCAAAACAGTTTAGCAATTGAAACATGAAAGATAGAAAGCAGAAACAAAGGAAAAGAAATAAAAAGGAGGAAATGCTTTTTTAACATGAAAAGTATAACATGTTAGCAGTTAGCAACAATATCAACAATCAATCACATCAGTTAGCAGCCTCACTTTTTATTTTCTATTACTTTTCTGACAATTTTTTTATCAAGTTGTAGTATCCTCAAAAGATGATTTAAAAAAAGAGTTAACTCACAATTTCATCATTGAAAGTGGCACATAGTTTACCTTTGGTTTCTCAATGTACCACTTTGTACAATTTAGTCCCCTAAAGTATGACGTTACTTTCTTTTTAATCCATCTGTTAACATTTGTTATATTAGTGAGATGGAATTGCTGACATGACAAGTTAAATGCACAAGTGTACTATTAAACTTAATTCCCATATCAAATGCCTGATTGGAGTAATTGGACCAATCTCCACCCCAATTTCATAACCTTAATTTCCTCCTCCCCCCTCCCCCTCTCACATAACAAAACATGTCTCCCAAACCCCATTTTTAACTGAACCCATGATGACTTTGGTGATCAGTGCAGCAAGCGGAAGCATTTATAGGGATGACGATGGCATTATGAATTAGCATGACTGTGGAAAGAGGCTGCGAATGATGAAGTGCGAGAAGGGAAGAAATAAAAGATATGTTCCATCATCCATGGTATTTGAGGTTAGACATCTACCTCTTACTCTCGTAAACCAGTTAGATATGAATATCAGAGCCATTGTCGGTAAGCTTTGATTATGTAATGAGAGTAACAAAGTATCATAACATTCTTAAGTAGTAAAAGTTGACGTTGGAATCATAATTATTTTTCTTCAAAAACACAAAACAACAATTCTTCAAAATATATCCCAGATCCCCTAATATCACTATAATGATTCTTTAACCAAGGACCAGGGTTTGATCCCCACCTTGGACATGAAGTAGCAAAATTATAAATTTTATTTGGTTTAAAATTGAACTTAACTATTTTGTTCAAGATCAAGGGTAAGAAGTGCATTGTGAACAAATGCACACAACACAAGTGCATTTTTGGTAAATTGACCAAATGATAGAGACATTTACTGTATGTTTGGTGACCTTGAATTAGCATGGAATAGCAAGGAGAGGAAGGAACTGTACGGAATTTTAAAAAATAAATAAATAAACCATTGTGTTTGAAAGAGATGAATAGATGAGAAATTGGTGTGGGACCCGCGACAAAATTTATACCCTCCAAAATGTGAGGATTTGCAGAGAATTGAAAACTTAAAAGTTCATTGTCAAAATTATCCACCCCTAGTTAAACATGTAACACATAAAACAAAACTATAATTGACTATGATTCCAATACAAAAGGACCATGGTAGAATACGGCCTCTAATTCTCAAATTTATGTTTTTTAAATACTTTTGAATATGTTGTCTGAGTTATATATATATATATATATATATATATATATAT